CCAGGCTCCAGAAAGAGATGGACGCCCAACTTTCACTTTGCAGGCTCGGGTCTGCAGCACACGAAGCCCGGGAAATCTCCACTGTCCTTGGGAAATGCTGGATTCCCCCTGGCCCCCGGCCCACAGCCTGCCCAGAACGAGGGAGGTAACAACATCCAGATCTCAAGGCCACAAGAGCTGTGGAGTGCACACAGCCCCCGCAAAGGACACAGCCAGAGGAAGGCAATCCCAACAGCAGGGAGAGCGCGAGGCGGTCCTGGCTGATGACACAGAGCCCTGCGCCCGGACCCACGCCCCCCACGCCACTGTGCCGCAGCTGAGAGGCTGACAGCACACAGTCCTGAATGCACCGCCATGGCCACCAGAAGCCACCTCCCCAAAGGGCCTGCGCACACACCCTCCGCACCCACACTACTGCGCTGTGTACACCGCCGGGCGTCCGCAGGGCAGAGTGTGGGGTGGTCTCACCGCAGCCTGCGCGGCCGCCTCTGTGCTTAGCAGACACTCGGGATTCCTCCAAGATGGCGACCATGTCTTCCAGGGCTGTCACTGCTCAGAGGGGAACTGTGTGTGGGTCGGGCGCACCATGGTCCCCACTCAGTGCTGGGCTCCGGCTTGTGGTGTTGCACACCAGCTTGCACAAACAGCATTGTGCACGGGTTTTGGAATGGTCATGAGTTCTCATTTCTCTAGACTAAATACCCGCACGTGGATGGCTCGGTCTACGCTGCTGCATGCTGAGCTTCACAGACACCACCACGCGGCCTCTTGAGGGCCGGGCCGTCTTGCGGTTGTCCAGCAGGCTCCGAGAGTCTGGCTGCTGGCATCCCTGCCAGCTCTCAAGGGCCCTGTTGTTTTCTTCGTGGCCTGGGCCATTGGAGCAGGTGCGCTTGGTTCTCACGGTAGGGCTGGGCGGCTCCTCCTGATGGCCGGCGATGTGCTGGTTTCCCTAATGTGCCCCTTTTCCAGATGGTTCTGTGGCAGGAGCCCTTCACTCGCTCCACAGGGCCCCACATCCTCCTTCATGGTTGACAGCAGCCCTCGGCATCAGCCACTGGAACGCGCGTGCGGATTCATGGTTTGGATACAGCTACTTTGGTTAGTTTGTCACACATTTTCTAGTGGACTCGGTCTGCCTTTTTTTGATTTTGACTGTATTTTAGCAAACAGAAGAGTTTAATATTGATGAAGTCGATTAGTCAGCCTTTCTTTCATTTTATGGCATGTGTGAATTCTGTCAGCACAGGACCATAGAATGTGAAGTGCTGTGGCTCACGTCTGTAATCGTACCTACCCAGGAGGCTGTGATCTGAGGATCACAGTTCAGAGCCAATCCAGGCAGGAATGTCCATGAGACACTTATCTCCAATGAACCACCAAAATCCAGCACTAGAGCTGTGGCTCATGTGGTAGAAACCAGCTTTGAGCAAAAACAGCTCAGGGAGAGTGCCCAGACCCGAGTTCAAGCTCTAGTACTGTCGTCACACACACAAATAAGCAGCACAGTTTTTCCCCTAAAGAGCAAACATTTCTCCCTTCTGTATTTAGGCCAGTGGCCAGTGTTTAGCTTTTCTGTTAAGTATGAGGCATGAGATGTGTAATGCTCACCTTTCTTCTCTTCCCTCCCTCCCACCACAGAGGCTCCCCGGAGGTCAGGACTGGTCTTGTTGGGTGTGGCATCAATTATCCACCAGCCAGCCCCTGACTCCTCATATCTCAGTCCAATTCTTTCTTCTGGGTTTTCGTGGTTCATATCAACATTGTCACATTTTATTGTAGTGTAAATCAGATGTTTTCGCATTAAAACATCAGGGCTGGAAATGTGGCTTAGTGGTAGAGTGCTGGCCTCTCACCCATGAATCCCTGGGTTTGACTCTTCAGTACCACATTCACAGAACTCAATTCAAGTGGCGCTGTGGCTCAAGTGGTAGAGTGCTAGCCTTGAGCTAAAGAAGCCCTGGACAGAGCTAAGGCCCAGAGTTTAAGGCCCATGGCTGGAAGAAAAACTAAACCACCAAATCCCACTGCTTCCTACAGAACACTGGAATAGCACTGACTGGCTGCTTTTGCTGTTTTCAGTTCCCATCTTTCCACCCTCTATTCTTGAGGCCAAACAGGTCCCCTGCCAGACACACACATTGTGCCTTCCAGAGGGTGGCTTTTTGTTTCCTTCCCGGTCTTGTCTCTCTGGCAGCCCTTTGTGGGCTGTGGGACAGCAGGGAGGGCTGCAGCTCCAGGACTGTCCTTCATGGAGAGCCTTTTGAATTGGACCCTTGGAGTGATGTCAGCCATGAGTCTTCCTCCCTCTCCTCTTCCTCTTCCTCCTCTTCTTCCTTCCCTCCTCCTCCTCATCCTCTTTCTGCTTCTTTGGCAGATGGCCCATCTCTTTTTGCTTTAGGTTATTTTTTTCAGGGAGGATCTTTAGTTTTGTCCAGCGCTGACTTTGAATGGCTATACTGCTACCTACAGCCTCTCAAACAGCTGTGTCACAGGTCTGCACAACTGCACCCAGCCTGCTGATGCAGATGGATTCTCATATTGTGGGAGGCCATCCATGAACATTGATCTCCACCTTCCAAGGAGCTGGGAGGCATGGGCCACCACTGGCCGCCAGTCTTTGTGAAATGCTTTGTACCAAGTTACAGAGTAAACTGATCCATGTATTCCTAGTTTATAAAGAACAAATCACAAATGGTGACTTGGTGTTGAGTTCTGTAGTTTCCCAGAGTATCCATCAGTACTACCACATTCCTTCCTTTTCTGGTTGTATTGATTGATTCTCAGGACTGAGCTAGCCTTGCATTCCTGCGGAAAGCCTGCCCTGTTGTAACATATTATCCTGCTGCATAGTTTTCTGATATGCCCTAGGTTTGGATTTCAGTGTATTGATACCCCCCCTGCGTTGTTGCAGGAGCTGTGTAGAACCACCATTCTTTTTATCTTTGAACATTTTCATAGACTTCTCTAATGGACAACTTGGACCTTGTTGGAGTGATTTTAAGTTGAAATCAAGAAAGAAACCACTTGAAGGAAAAGAGATGTCAGAGAACATATTTGCAAGAAACACGTGTGGGAAAGTTGCTACCCATAATTACAAAAAACTGTTAACACTCAAGGATAAGAAACCAACCTGAACCAAAAATAAACAAGGGTGGATAAACACTTCACCACAGAACACTCACAGGTGGCCGAGAGGTGCATGCAAAGATGCTCCATCACTTGAGAAGTGCACATTAAAATAACCACTTGACACAACTACACAGCTATTCGAGTGGCCAAAATCCAAAACTGACAGCAGCAAATGTGGGCAACAGTGTGGCACGGCGGTGGACCCACTCCTGGGGGAAAGAGAAATAGTGCTGCCACCTCCCCAGACAGCCCCGTTCACCCTCCCTCCCTCCCTTCCTTCCTTCCTTCCTTCCTTCCTTCCTTCCTTCCTTCCTTCCTTTCTTCCTTCCTTCCTTCCTTTCTTCCTTCCTTCCTTCCTTCCTGCCTGCCTTCTTGCCTGCCTGCCTGCCTACCTTCCTGATTTCTCTGTCTTTCCCTCCCTCCCTTTCTTTCTCCTTCCCTCCTTCACTCCCTCCTCTCACTTCTCTTGTACCAGGGCAAGCATCTCAGTAGCCTATAACACCCTAGAACAAAGTAACCCCCACGGGATTGCAACACACACAAGAGAAACAATGGCAAGGTCCCACTCAAATCCACCAATTACTGAAGAGAAGAAAACGTGGGGAAAGTGTCACTAATCACAGACGTGTCACCCAGCAGCTCCCACTGATGTTCACCCAGCACAGATTTGTCACCCAGCAGTGCCCATTATATTCTGTGGACTCCAGAATTAGATAAACAAAACAAATTTAGCATATTCAACAAAAACAAAGAAGGTCCTTTAAAATAACCTAACACACAAGCTGGGAGCCAGTGGCTCTCGCCTGTAATCCTAGCTACTCAGGAGGCTGACATCTGAGGATCATGGTTCAAAGCCAACGTGGGCAGGAAAGTTCTAGAGATTCATCACCAGTCAATCATCAGAAAAGTGGAACTGGAGCTGTGGTTGAGCACTAGCCTTGAACACAAAAGCCCAGGGACAGTCATCAGCCCCTGAATTCAAGTCCCAGTATCTGAACAAATAATAAAGCAAAATAATGTAAGACCCAATCAGACATTGAGAGAACAGCCTAAGTCTGAAGTGGCAGAAAAGTTTGTGAGACCCCTTTCTGAATTCATAGCTTGACACTGTGGCCTGAGCCTGTCACCCGAAGGTACCTGGTAGACTGGGGCCAGAGGGTGCCGTACCAGGCCAGGCAGGGCAGAAAAGTCCAAAAGATACATCTCGCCAGAAGGAGGCCAGATGAAGAGCAGTCTGCCTGTCTTTCCAGAAACTACAGGAAGCCCAAAATATGCAGATAGCAGTCCAGGCAAATGCCAGCCAGGAAGCAAGGTCCTATCTCAAAAACATGGCCACGCCCGGTGCTCGTGGCTCACTCTCCACACACAAGAGAGCTGTGTGTGTCACTACGTAAGTGCTATGTGTCATAGTTCTTCCTACACCCGCTTATAACTTACTAGAATCAAAGCCCAGCAAGATGACAGGGTTCTAGGCTCCCCATAACACAGATGCAGGCAGGTGATAGGGGTCTAGGATCTACATAACACAGATGGGGACAGGTGACAGTGTTCTAGGATCCCCGTAACACAGATGGGGACAGGTAACAGGGTTCTAGGATCCCCATAACACATATGGGGGCAGGCGACAGGGGTCTAGGATCCTCGTAACACAGATGGCGGCAGGTGACAGGGGTCTAGGCTCCCCATAACACAGATGGGGACAGGCGATAGGGTTCTAGGATCCTTGTAACACAGATGGGGGCAGATGACAGGGTTCCCCATAACACAGATGGAGGCAGGCGACAGGGTTCTAGGATCCCCATAACGCAGATGGGGGCAGGTGACAGGGTTCCAGGATCCTCGTAACACAGATGGGGACAGGCGACAGGGTTCTAGGCGCCCCGTAACACAGATGGGGGCAGGTAACAGGGTTCTAGGATCCCTCTAACACAGATGGGGTCAGGTGACAGGGTTCTAGATGCCCCGTAACACAGATAGGGGCAGGTGACAGGGTTCTGGGCTCCCCATAACACAGATGGAGGCAGGCGACAGGGTTCTAGGATCCCCATAACACAGATGGGGGCAGGTGACAGGGTTCCAGGATCTTCATAACACAGGTGGGGGCAAGTAACAGGGTTCTAGGATCCCCGTAACACAGATGGGGACAGGCGACAGGGTTCTAGGCGGCCCGTAACAAAGATGGGGGCAGGTAACAGGGGTCTAGGATCCCTGTAACACAGATGGGGGCAGGTGACTGGGGTCTAGGCTCCCTGTAACACAGATGGGGGCAGGTGACTGGGGTCTAGGCGCCCTGTAACACAGACAGGGGCAGATGCAGAATGTCTCTGGACTCTTGCCGGGCACCACGGATCCACTTTTTCTCCTTCATCATTAGCGCATCCTGTCCGACGTGGCCTTGGCTGTGGCTCCCTTTGTCCCACAGAAATCCTGTGGACGCACCCAGTGGCTTATCTCCACCACATCCTTTCATTCATTTGTATGTACCTCCTTATTCTACCTACCCGCCCATCTCCCCATCCACCCTGCCCTCCCTCCATCCCGTGTACGGCCTTAGCGATGCTTCATCCTCTCTGGATTTGGGCTAAATGCAATAATTCTGCCATTTAAAAAAACTCGCATGTATTTTCAGTGGCTGTGTTAACACCCAGCATGAAACTCCAGGGTCATAGGTCAGGCACTATGCAGTTCAGCAGACGCACCCACGATGCAGTTTGCATCCCTGGATGCATCTCCTGGACCTATGATTCTGGTTACCCCATTCTTTGTGAAATGAGATCTCCTTGGTCCATGGTGGACGCCATGCAGGAAACCCCCCTCTAGTGTGAGGGTGTATTGGAATGGAGGTGCTCCTGGAATACAAAGACACCTAAACGTCCAAGAAAACAAATTCACAATGGCTCTGAATGTCTGTCTCTGTTCTTCTGTTTGTTCAGCTGTTTTGAGTGTTGTATTTGTTTAAATGTATGATGACTCTCTCCTATAAATCAGAGAAAGGGCCTTTGCCTTTTACCTTCTACAGTCTAGCAGAGACATGGTGTCTTCCCATTCATTTTGCAGTCTGTCTCCCGGCTCTCTAACACAAAGTACCATATCTGAACCCACCATCTGAACCCTGCTCCCCATCTGTTGTCATGTATATTTCCCTGCAGGCATGGAAGTCTGCTCCAGGCCGAGGTGTAAGGTGAGGCCTTTGCTTCCCCCAGAAGATGGGGCGGGGGGGGCTGTGTGTGGCTCCCTGGCTCCAGGCTTGGCAGGGCTGGCACTGTCCAGGCTGCTCTGTGGCTCTGTGGGGCCACCTGGGTGTGGGGTGTCTGGGGAGCCTCCAGGGACCTCCTGGGATGCTCTGCCCTCCACCCCCCAGGGTGCTTCTGGGCCTTTCTCTCTGGGTGCTGCAGCTTGCCAGACTCCTGTGGCGCTGGTTCCTGGCTACAGTACAGCTTCAACTTTTCTCCTCCATGAGAGGTCTGATTTTCATTCCTGCCCGGCTGATTTGTACCCAAGTCCCATGTCCAGGTGTCCTATGCATGTCAAGGGTCCTGTGCACGTAGGGGTCCTGTGTGCAGCCAGCTTGCAATGGTCTCTTTGTCTGGGCTCCTGCACTGTGGCTCCCGGGTCAGAGGACAGCTGGGTCTCAGCAGTCCTGTCCCACGGCCATCTCTGGGTTGCTGGCAAGGTTCTCTGATTTTTATCCAGAGCTGAACTTGCAGTACCTTTGTGAGCCATCTGGCTTTCCCTGGCGTTTCTGCCCTCCTGTGTTGGGTCCCAGTGGCCCATCCGCGGGAGCAAGGGGGATGTTGGGGGTCACACCTTGGGCAGTGCCCCTGTCCAGTCACTCTCCACACACTTGGCCGGGGTGGCCTGGGCTTCCCTGGAGGAGCTGATGCACACAGTAGTGGCTGGGCTGGTGACAAACAAACACAGACAGAAACTCAGTAGATGCTTCAGGAAAACAATTTATTGGAGGGTCTGACAGTTTTCACAATCAAGGGAATGGAGGTTGAGGCTCCAGACCACTGAGAGAAACTAGGGCCCAGGTGCTGTGGGGTAAGGGGACCTGAGCGGGACCGCTGCCTGCGTCTGTGCACACGGGTCTGCCCGCCCAGGGGAGGCCTGACCTGTGGCCACTGCCCTATAGACCAGAGCAGAGCCAGCTTGTTGATTGGAGAAAGTCAGTCTGTGCACAGATTGTTGGTGAGGAGTCCACGTTCCCTGAGGAGGCCTGGAGAGGCCTCTTGGCACCATGGAGGCATGGTCAGAGAGGTGGGGTGCCAGGCCTTGAGCTCCAGGCTCTGGGGATAACTCAGCAGCAAGGGCTTGTTCCACAGCATGCCTGTCAGGAGCAGGTAGGGCGGCACAGCAGGGACATTCAGCAAGACGGCGGGCAGGGCGGGCAGGAGCGGCAGCAGGGCTGGCAGCTGGATAGCTGGCAGCAGCAGGAGGAAGCCCCACAGCACATGGACTCACAGCAAACGGAGTCACAGCACATGGGTCTATGGCACATGGACTCACGGCACACTGGCTCATGGCACAAGGGCTCACAGCAGGACAGCTGGCAGGCTGAGCAGGGGCAGCAGCACGGCTGGCAGCTGGACGGCTGGCAGCAGCAGGAGGAAGCCCCCCAGCACACGGACTCACAGCACACAGGCTCGCAGCACATGGGCTCATAGCAGGACGGCTGGCAGGCTAAGCAGGAGCGGCAGAAGGGCTGGCAGCTGGATGGCTGGTAGCAGCAGGAGGAAGCCCCGCAGCACATGGACTCACGGCACACGGGCTCATAGCACATGGGCTCACAGCACACGGGCTCACAGCACACGGGCTCATAGCAGGACGGCTGGCAGGCTGAGCAGGGGCGGCAGAAGGGCTGGCAGCTGGACGGCTGGCAGCAGCAGGAGGAAGCCCCGTAGCACAAGGGCTCATGGCACACGGACTCAAGGCACACGGACTCACGGCACATGGACTCATGGCACATGGGCTCACTGCACATGAGACTGCAGCACACGGGCACACAGCGGGATGGCTGGCAACAGCAGGAGGAAGCCCCGCAGCACACGGGCTCACAGCACACGGGCCTGCAGCACACGGGCTCATGGCACATGGGCTCATGGGAGGACAGGTGGCAGGCTGAGCAGGGGCAGCAGCAGGGCTGGCAACTGGACTGCTGGCAGCAGCAGGAGGAAGCTCCACAGCACACGGACTCACGGCACATGGGCTCACAACACATGGGCCTGCAGCACACGGGCTCATGACACATGGGCTCAAAGCACATGGGCTCAGAGCAGGACTGCTGGCAGCAGCAGGAGGAAGCCCCACAGTACCCGGGCTCATGGCACACAGGCTCATAGCATGAAGGCTGGCAGGCTGAGCAGGCGCAGCAGCAGGGCTGGCAGCTAAACGGCTGGCAGCATGAGGGTGTGCAGCAGCTGGCGCAGACGGACTGGCAGCAGGGGCTGGACGCACAGCCCGCTGGGGAGCAGAGGAAGGTGACGCAGGGGGCGGGGGTGCAGCCGCGGGGATGGCAGCAGCTGGGGGCACCGCAGGGCTCACAGCAGCTCTCTGGGCAGTCGTCCACCTGCCAGGAGGCGTGGATGCAGGCATCGGAGCAGATGGACATGGTGGTGGAGGCGGCCATGGCCATCTGGGCTGGGAGGAAGAGGAGGCAGAGGAGGTGTGAGTGTGAGTGCAATGGGCCATGGCTTTTATAACCCTCCTGTGGGTGGTGTCCTGGCCACACCCTTCGTGGTGTGATCCGCTCCTGTTTGCTGAGATGTTGTCCAGCTTTGTCAACCCAACCTCAGATAGATAGGTTTACCTGTCAAATATTAATCCTTTCTGTCTGCCTGTCTGCCTGTCTATCTATCTATCTTCTGTCTGACCAGCCATCCACCCATCCTGTTGCCTGGTGAGGCTCTGTGTCCCGAGGCCAGCCGTGGCACACAGGTCCTGACGGTCAGGGTCATGGCCCGTCTCAGCACGGGTGCTCCCTCCAAAGGAGCTGGTTCTGTGGAAGTGGCCTCCTGTGGTCTCACCCTCTCGGGGACTCCACCCCTGGTATGCAGGGCAGTGAACCCATGGTAAGGGCTGGAGGCAAGGTTGGCTAGTGATCGCCAGGGCCGCTGACCCTGAGGGGCCCAGCCTGGACCCTGCGCCCAGCGCCCAGCTTGGAACCCTGCCTTGCCACCTCACACCTCTCCTTTTTCCGCCCCAAAACCCCTCCCCGCCCCGTGTCCCCGACTTTCTATGATACCTGTGGTCATGCGTCTCCTTGGCTGGCACTGGTTCCGAGAGTCCCTTCAATCCCCCACCAGGCACTTCAAAGACAGAGGGGAAGTGAGGAAGCCCTGCATCTCCAGCATCTCCTTTGCTCCCTCCTGGCCTCGGTTTCTAGTCCACCACAGTGGCTTCTATTTCTAGTTCATAGCCTACTCCCCATCCTCCCATCTCCAACCTGTACCCCACATCCAGCCATCCCCCCTCTACCCCTCCATCCACCCATCCCCACCCTGTACCCCCCATCCACCCATCCCCACCCTCCACCTCCCATCCACCCATCCCCACCCTCCACCTCCCCATCCACCCATCCCCACCCTCCACCTCCCCACCCACCACCAGTTCCAGTGATCACTCCAGTTCATAAACCAATGATCATGACTCTTCAGCTAGAGGATGTCTGCTTTGCATTTCAGCTTCCTAATAGTATGTTGTGACGTGACATCTGGCTTCTTAAACTTATTAACGAGCTGGTCACCCATGGCTCACGCCCCGAATTCTAGCTTCTCGGGAGACTGAGGTCAGAGGCTCACAGCTCAAACCCGGTGAGGCTCTTATCTCCAGATAACCACCAGAAAACCGGAAGTGGTGCCGTGGCTTAAAGTGGTAGAGCGCTCTCCTGGAGCACAAAAGCTTCGGGACAGCGGGAGAGCGAGTGCCCAGGCCCTGAGTTCAAGCCCCACACAAACAAAAAGTTACGTTTGGGTTTTGAGGTACTAAGCTGGAAGGGAGTCTGCCCCTCCCAGGGCAGCGGCTGGCCCTGCCCGTGTGTAGAGGAGCCAGGCCGCCTCTGCTGGGCCTCGCTTCCTCATTCAGCACACCAAGGCCATGATTTGGCCCTGATGGGATTGAAGCCTTGGGCCCCAGGCCTCTCCTCCTTGCTCCAGGCCGCCGGGGCCCCTCCGCCCGTCACCTGTGCCGGTCCACCACATGGAGGCCTCCTGCCCATCACTCGGCGGCCAGCGGCGGCCAGGCCAGGGCCAGCGCCCACCAGCCACGCGCAGCGCCGAGGCTGCAGCACAGGCCGGGTTGGGCCTGAGCAAGAGACCAGAGTCAGGGTTTGTCGCCAGCACGCAAAGCCCTGACAGGCGTTTGGACGACGGCTGAGAGGCCAGAGCGAGGCTCAGGAGCACGGCCGGGTGACCCAGAGTTGTGTGGGGAAGGAGGAAGCAGGAGCTGTGGACAGATTCGGGGTCCGGGGCCCTGGGGAGAGCGGGACTGTGCAGTGCCACCGGGCCCGCCGTCGGGGGCCGAGGAGGAACCCCCGCCCCCCCACTCCCCGGACCTGCCGAGGGCTCTGCCGCCTGCACCGAGGCCTGGGGACCCCTGCGCTGACACACAGGCGCTTCCTTCCAGAAACCTCCACCCTGGGCCCGCGGGCCAGCCCCCTCCTGCCTGGCCCCGAGGACAGGCCCATGCGCAGGCCGGCATGGGTAGTTACTGGTGTTGGGCATGGGCAAGGAGAAGGTGCCGGCAAGGCCGGCGTGAACCCCAGCGTCTGCCTCCAGGGCCTCAACTGAGGGGCCAGGATGAGTCACGAGGCCCAGCGTTCGCTTTCTGGGCAAAGCAGCTTCAGAGCTAAACAGGGCGCTGGTACTAATGAGCTGCACGCTCGCCCACAGGGTAGGGGCAGCCAGTGGCGGCCCAGGAGACATAAAAGGCAGAGCCCAGGCACCTTCCTCACACCACGCTCACACTCACTCACACCTCCCGCTCCTCCCAGCCCCGCCGCCATGGCCGCCTCCACCATGTCCGTCTGCTCCGACGCATGCACCCACGCCTCCTGGCAGGTGGACGACTGCCCAGAGAGCTGCTGCGAGCCCTGTGGCGCCCCCAGCTGCTGCCAGCCCCGCGGCTGCACCCCCACCCCCTGCCTCACCTTCCTCTGTTCCCCAGCAGGCTGTGCGTCCAGCCCCTGCTGCCAGTCCGTCTGCGCCAGCTGCTGCACACCCTCCTGCTGCAAGCTGTCTAGCTGCTAGCCCTGCTGCTGCCCCTGCTCTGTTACCAGCTGTCTATCTGCTAGCCCTGCTGCTGCCCCTGCTCAGCCTGCCAGCCGGCCTGCTGCGTGCCTGTATGCTGCAAGCCCATGTGCTGCAGACCAGAGTGCTGCACACCTGTGTGCTGTGAGCCCGTGTGCTGCACATCCCTGTGCTGCAGACCCGTGTGCTGTGAGCCCGTGTGCTGTGGGGCTTCCTCCTGCTGCTGCCAGCCGTCCAGCTGCCAGCCCTGATGCAGCCCCTGCCCGCCCTGCCCGCCATCCTCCAGCGTGTCCCTGCTGTGCAGGCCCATGTGCAGGCCAGGCTGCTGCTTGCCCACCTCCTCCTGCTGTGCCCCCTGCTGCCAGCCCAGCTGCTGCCACCTGGCAGCCTAGTGCATGTCCCTGCTGTGTCGCCCTGCCTGCTCCCACCAGGCCTGCTGTGGCAACTCCCCACACCAGTGAAGCTGCTGATGGGCGCAGCCCGGGGTCGTGGGTGCCGGTCCTGCCTGTGGCCCACACAGCCCCTCAGTCTGCTCTGACCTGGGTTAGGCAGCATCTCCTGAGGTTGGGCCTCAGGTGTTCCCTGACATCTCCTTCCTCCCTCTTCTGCCCTCCCTCCTCCTTTCTCCCCCTCCTCCTCCCTCTCTCTCCTCTGCTCTGGGTCACATGGCCTTGACTTCACTCACTCTCAGTAAACTGGTTGGTGCCACATTCCCCTCTCCCTCTCCTGTTGTGCCACACCAGGTTTGAGCAGTCCCTGGACTCCAGCCACTGCTTCTAAGAACAACGAGAGCCTCCTGATCACAAGGGAGGGAGCTACCGCCTGGGCATGGCCGGGTACAGGGGCAGCACAGGGCCGCTCAGGACTAGGCCTCAGAAGGCCAGAGCTGCACATCTGCATGCCCAGGGCGCTGCTGGGCATGTCCAGCCCCGTGTGCCCCCCCACCTGCCTGGACACCCTCTCTACGGAGCTGCTGGCCGTGGCTGCGGACACCGTGGCCGGGCTGTCCTGGTGGCTCTGTGCCGGCCACCCCACAGCACACACTGGGGAGGCAGAGACGAGCTGCTCTTTGGCACTGTCTGGCACACACAGACACAGGAAAAGCACCATAGCGAGAACTCAAAGCCCCACAGGCTCTGGGCTGGACTCTTCCCTTTAAGCCGTACCTTAACCCTTCTTTGCTTTAGTTATTTCTCAGAGAGGGTCTCATGTTTTTTTGCCCTGAACTAGCTTTGGAGTGTGATCCTCCTAATCATGCTTCTGAAGTAGCTGGGATTGTAGACATGCATCACCACACCAGGCCACTGTCATTTCTTTCTACCTTAATGCCCTGGCAGGGACTCAAGTAGAAAGCTGAGTAGACCTGAAAGAGCAAATTATTATCTTGGGGAGAATAATCTGTTTTACCCCATAAAACATGAATCTTCTGAGATTGTATTTCCTTAAATAAACATGTTGAATTTTTGTTAAAAATCCCTGGGATCCCAGGATCGTCAGATGCCCACAGTGCCTCTCCTTTTGTGCATTAATATGGTAGTGTGTGTGTGTGTGTGTGTGTGTGTGTGTGTGTCCTGGAGGTTGAACTTTGTGCCAGGGCACCATTCCTGAGCTTTTTTTCCTCTAGCACTTAACTAGGCTAGCACTTCACTGCTTAGCCACAGCTCTGTTGCCAGTTTTTTGCTTGTTTTTTTTTGTTTTGGGGCGGTTAATTGGAGAGAAAGAGTCTTACAGACTTTCTTACCCAGACTGGCTTTGAATCTTGCTTCTCAGAGCTCAGCCTCCTGAGTAGCTAGGATTATAGATGTGATCCACTGGTACCTGGCTCTGTATTAGTTGGTTCTTAAATGTTAAGACAACTTAACATTGCAGATATAAACTTCTTTAGCAACAAATAATTCTTTTTTAAAAATTGCTTGCTTCCATGTGCTGGCTTTTATTAGGAGATTTTAGGTGGTTCTAGCTCCTCCGTGCTCTGTGGGCCTCTGCTCTCTTGGTGGGAACCATGTCTTCCCTGCTGCTGGTTTCTGAAGTTGTCTGGGAGGTGGAGATCATCTCTTCCATAGCAGCTCTGGTGGCAGAGTTGGGATTAGGATTATTATGCAATCGCTTCGACTGGTAGGAGGCTGCTCATACTTTATTTTCTTTGATCATTTTGGTCATTTGTGTCCCTTTATTTAAGTTGTTAAATGCGTGAGCACAACGTTGTGACGTTACTGTCCCCTTCGGATGCACACTCTGGCAGCAGCCCTGTCTCCAATCCTCATCTGGGTAGCATCTGTCTCCCTTCTCTGGACCAGTTCACTAGATGCTCTTTACATTCATTTTTCTCTTGGTTGCTTTCTAGATGTCCTGATAGTTTCTTCCTTCCTGCTCTCCCTATCCA